TATATAAAACTTACAACATTAATTTATCAAGTAAATATATATATATATACTGTATATACAGTGCCCTCCATAACTATTGGGACAGTAATGACAAAATTGCTTTGTTTGCTGTGTAGTCAAGACAAAGATGAATATGAGACAAAACTACACAATGTCACATTTTATTATTAGCCGTTTCAACACATACATGTTTTACCAAAAAAAAACACAGCACTTTTAGAGTTCACCCTATTATCTGATGTGAGCATAAGTATTGGGACAATTGAACTTAAGCCAGATGTGAAAGTTTAAAAGCTATTATTTAGTTGCAGATCCCTTGCGTGCAATCAGAGCAGTGAGTCTGCGACCCATAGACATCACCAGACTCTTAGTCTTATCCTTTGAAATGCTTTTCCCAGCATTTAATGCAGCCAATTCCAACTGTTGCTTGTTTTGGGGAGTTTCTGCCTTTACTCTCCTCTGCAGCTGGTGAAATTCATGTTCAATAAGATTTAAATCTGGAGATTCACTTGGGCAATCTAAGACTTTCTATGAACTGTCAGTGTGACAGTGTTTGGGTCATTGTCCTGAGGCAACATGAAGCACTTTCTGTGTCATTTTCTTGAATATTGGCAGCCAAGATGGTTTTGTACCCTTCCAAATTCATTCTGCTACTGTTCATCATACATTGTCATCATTAAAATTGAGAGGGCCTATTCCAGAGAAAGCAATGCATGCCCATGCCATAACATCACCTTCACCATGCTTTACAGATGAGGTTGTATGCTTGGGATCATCTGCAGTTCCTTTTTTTCTCTCCACACTTTTGCTTTCCCATCACTTAGACAAAGGTTAATCTTTGTCTCATCGGTCCATAAACTCAGTTCCAAAAATCCATTGGCTCACCTTTGCGCTTTTTTGCTAACTCTAATCTTGCCTTTCTATTTTTGGTGCTGGTCAGAGGTTTGCATCTTGCTGCAGCCTCTGTAGTTCTGTGTCAAAGTCTCCTGCGGACAGTAGACTGTCAGAACATCACCCCAGCTTTCTGGAGGTTGGTGGTGATTTTACAGACACGTATTTTAGGGTTCATTTTCACAGCTTTTATGATTTGTCTGTCATCAACTGCTGTTGTTTTTCTCAGCCGATCAGGTCATTGTTGGTTGCTGATGTCGTCGATGGTTTCCAAACTCTTGATTTCTCCATGCCGTTTGTTTCTTGAGGCCTTTGGCAATGCCAAGACCATCAGAAATGACAACTCGTCTCGCTTTGTGAGTGGACAACATTTTAAGTTACAAATCATTTTCATTTTTCCCCACTGTATTTAAAGACAATATTCCTTTCGAACAGGGCAAGTTTATCTGGATCCACTTTGCTGCCGGTGGCAAGCTAGCATCTGCTGATATTGAGACTTGTAAGAAAGATCTTTGATTGTTTACTGCTTTGTCTTTTATGACTCCTACTCTGTGATATGTGCATGTACACACTTTAGGGACAATTC